TCATGTGCTGAGGTGTCTGCTGAGGTGTCTGTCTGTCTGTAAAATAACTCTGTACCTGTTTCTCCCAAAGGTTGCTGTGGCCTTTGCTGTTTCCCTGCATGCAGTGTGATGAGCCAATAAACATGGATGGTGCTGTGCAATGCCACTCCTGGACGTTTGTGGTGTGGTGTCCTGCTTACTCCGTGGATCCATCAGAGAGCGCCACAACATCGAAGTAAGGCTGGATTAGAGATGGAGGACACTGTTACAAACTACACTTAAAAGATAGATGTGGTCACTAGAGGAAGTGCACTTTTATAACTTCTGCACTGGCTTCATTTTTAAGCCCTGGAGGTTTCTGCGAGTTGAATGTGTGTCTTGTGATGTGGTTCTAAAATTAACTGACGTAAAATCTAAATTTTATGAGATTCATATAAAATGCACACAAATTGTGCTTTGTGCAGATCCTTCTCACTCACCGTCACCTCTTCAATAGCTCCCAGATGTCTCTGTGTCCTCATTATTTGTTTATAAGTAACCACATCATGTAGTGCCACCATAAAAGTGACCTGGATAAACTTGTGGTATTTTACAATCGTGGAAATTATAAAGGAGTAGCTTGAGTTGAGAAAGAGGAACTGTAAAGTTCTTCAAATCTGAAATCTCTTGCCCTCATCGTGGGAAAAAAGTTGAGGTCTCTTGTTTGACAAACTCTCAGATATTTGGTTACCCAGCTCTACACAGGGACACAGCTGCCAGATGAGGGGATGACAACACCCCACTAAACTTTTATGTCTGAGGGGTAACAACAGTAACTCCTGCTGCTTCATCCTCTGTCTATCTGCTTCTTCTTCTCCATCCTGCAGGGCTCGTTCACTGATGACTGCTGTAAAGTGTGCTTTTGTTACCCGTGTGTTTGGGCCAGATGCATCGTGAGGTGAAGATCAGGGAAACAAGTAGCCCGCCACCTCGACTGTGATCAGCACGCAAGTCGTCTGTGGATACGATGCAAACATTTGGCTGTGTGATGAGAGGCTATGACTTTTTCAGGCAAATAAAATCCTTTAATTTATACATCATCTGTGAGATTAATTGTCCTCTTCTGCAAAACAGAGTTTAACCATTTTTCAGATATAAACTAGTCATATTCACTAATTGTGAACTTTGATAGGACAGTGAGAAAGACATTAGCTTTTCTGAGTTGGTCAGACATCTGGGCTATATTCTCAGCAGCATATTAAACATATCAGGTCCCCATAAGGAGAATCATGTGCTAACCGCTGTCTAAATGACTCGGGTAAAGTTTGTAGCATGCATGCTTGTTGTTTTTGTCTGCTTCCACTTGTCTTTGCACTAGGATGATGTCGGCGTAAATGTGCAGTCATATTCGTTGTGTTCCCACTAGTGCTGTCAGCGTTAATCTCGTTAAAATGACGTTAACGCCACAACACGGCAATCTCCGTTTGCGAGCTACCGCGGATCGCCCGTGCGTGGGCTGGACGGCGTCAACACGTTAACAAGCTAACTGCGCTAACGCACTAGTTCCTACCAATTGAGCATTGCTTGGCACATCCGACATACTGTTTTACTTTTGTCCATGACGCACTTACCTTCAGGGTCATGCTTCACATGAAAACCAAGATAGTTCCAAAGGCCAGATCTGAATGAGGATGGGGAGGTTCAATTTCGGGTAGCGTTGAGGCAGTTGCCATGTTGCAACGAGCTTAGCTTCTGTCTTGCTAGCCTGTGCTGCGCTCAGTGGATCTGCACTCGACAGTGCAGCCTATAGTCGAACGCAGATTCACTGAGTGCATAAGACAGACAGCATCGTCAGAAGAAAGTTGATAAAATAAATAAAAAATTTTGTATTGTTTGATACATATGCGTACCGAACCAAAAGCACTGTATCGAACGGTTCAATATCGATACGAGTATTGTTGCACTATGTAGGGGTGCAACAATACTCGTACTTGGACGTACACAACAATAAAGCCTTGACTGTCTTTATAAGGGTAAACACTCATTTTTTGCCTTCTTCTTTTTGTCTGGTGAGTTGGTCAGACAAAATCAACCAACAAATGGTCAGAATTATAGATAATTGATAAAACAGGAATTAAATACCCCCCCCCCCCCCCAAAAAAAAAACAAACAAAAAAACAAAAACACAAACTAAATAAAATGTTTGAAGTTTAGTCTTCCTACTGTTCTATGCATTTGTAATAGTTGTGTCCAAGAGGTAAGTAAGAAAAGTTTAAGAAGTTCTTGGGAATATTGTCTCCAGATTTTTACAGACCCAAAATGGGACCTAAAATTCCCAAACTGTAAAATAATGCTTAACCTTTCACATGAGGCATACTGAGCGTCAGCTAAGCAATGGAAACTGAGGCTACAATTTGATATTCTGGTGTGACGAGTCTCGATTTCTGCAAAAACATTCAGATGTTAGGGTCAGTGTTTGCTGTAAACATGAAAATATAGAAAATATCAACAGTTCAGGCTGGTGATGGCGCGATGATGCTGGTGATATTTTTTAGGCACACTTTGGGTCCCGTAATACTAACTAGCACGCTAGTATTTAGGACTAGCATCATTTAAACACCAGAGCCTAACTGACCATTGTTATGAGCATTGTTATCACCTCCACTGACTAAGTGACTAAGTGATGATAGAAATATAACACAGAGTTCAACAACAAGTATAGCTGTATGTGAATTTGCTGAAGCTAATCTTTGTAGGAGCAAAGATATATTTCATTCGATGTAACAAATATACATATTTTGTTTGATGTAGTGAATAAGCAGAAAAGTTTCAAATTAAAATGTGTTGATTCTGAATACTGAAGTGTCATCTGAGTTGCTGAGTTAGGCAACCGGATGTGTGAGCCATAGGGCATCTGCTCAAGAGAAGGACAGAGAGATGATAAAATCACGGAAAACTATATATAGTTGTGGTCGGATGTTTGTATCCACTCATCATTGGTCATTGGTCAAGGCCAAAATCACTCATTGGTGATTTTGGTCTTTTAATTATTTCATCCACTGTTCTTTTGCCAGCATAGAATAATTGCACAGCACACATCTTTGATGACTTTGAAAACTAAAAGTTGTGTGCATAAATTTTAATTTATAGTTTGCAGATTTCTTGCTTCCTCATTTTCATGTTGCCGATGTGCATGTTACACAGATGTTACAACAGACAGTTTCTCATCATATTGTGTATTAGAAACATTCAGGTTACTATAGACAAGTTAATTGAGCTTTTACCCTCTTTGATAATTATTTGTTACACTTTTGTGGTATTTTCTTGTTATGAATTCTGAACAAGTTAGTACATTTCAAACAGGCATTTGGGATCAAACATTTTTTAGAGATTCAGAACAGTTCCCTTTTTGAGGATTGGTTTCTCTTTTTTTGTTTTTCTCAGCGTCTTAAGATCCGCTTTTCCAAAACTCAAACTCAAAAGAAACATAAATAATAAAACAGAATACAATTTTAGATTTTTTGTAGAGCAAGTCCAAGTGGAACTGATAAGGAGGATCGATAGGCAGACTAACAATTCCAAGGAAATGATCTACTGGTGCACAATTCCCATCCCTAGACAGGACTATTTATACACATCCAGTACGATTGATCACCTGTTGCAAAAATGGTAGAGTTTATTCTTACATGGTTACACCGTGTAACAGATTGCAACTACCTGAGATTTCGTTAGTTTTATTGAGTTTTGGTCTCACCTTCTAATTCATTGTGATACCTGTGCAACCCATGCAGGACATACACTAGTTATGTACTTTACTGTCTGGGCCAAAAACATAAAAAACCAGCTTTGACAGCACGGCACTGCCTGTGAAATCAACTAAAGACCCAAACTAGCTCGTTAGCAGCTAAAAATGGCATCTTGTTAATTTAATTAAACTGACAACAACTGTCTTGTTTCTTCAGACTTTAATCATCTTCAATAAATATCCTTACAAATGTGACACTGTTTAAGGGGAACTAACAGCAATATTTATAACAGCAAGATTTATTCCCAGGAAGCATTTTTACGGCAAAGAAATAATCAACCAAACACAAATTTACTCATCTTCATGTAAATATCCAGCAGCTCCATTTAAAAAAGCAGACATCCTCCAGCCATAACAGTAAATAAGTGAAATAAATTGTGGTAAAAATACAGATAAAATACATTTGAGCTAAGTCATCTTGTTTCCTTTCCCAGAAGAATTTGACTCCTGAAATGTCAAGAGAAAAACCTGAGGTAGTGACCAGTTTATAAAATACTACATCATCTCTTGGACATTTACATTTTTTGGTTGATGGTGTAGTATTCAGTCCATAAGAATGCATTAATATGCAGGGTTGGTTCTTCTCCAATCTACATGTTACTATTATTATGATTATTATTATTAGCAGTCGTATTACACGTTGAAGTATCATCGGTGCACTTACTAAGCCTCAGGTTGCCCTAGGTGTGTCCATCAGAGTATGAGTGTGAATGTGGGACAAGGTGCTATGGAACAGTAAAAAGCAGTGTTTGGATGTGTTTATGTAGTAAAGAAACACTAAGTACTCAGAGTAGAAAAGCAATATATAGGTACCAGTCCATTTGGCTTTTAAATGTCAGTGTAAGTACTCTTAGACCTGCTGGTGACCAAATGTTTGGCTAAAGTACAGACTTTCTGCACTTAAGTACAAATAATACTGTTAAAAAATACTCCAGTAAAACTTGAACAACTGATTCAACTTCTTTACTCAAGTAAAAGTAAAAAAGTACAAGCTCTGAAATGTACTCAGAGTAAGAAAGTAAAAAGTATCCCTTTGGAGGAAGTTTCCATTTTGTGTGCAGAGCTAAGTGAACCTTGTGCTTTATTGCAACCGCCCCCCAAAAAACACACACAAAAAAACACAGTCCCACTTTTAACCCAGACTTTGGCACAGTCATTTCTTGTTATGCAACATCCTCTGGTCATTTATAAAAAAGCCTGTCATATGTTTCTGTTTAGGCTCAAATTAGTTCGATGTTTGGAGGCTCACAGTGACAGAACTGCGTTAAAGCAAAAGTAACTTTTTTACAAAATGTAAGGTGTAGAAAATACAGATATATGTAGTAAAAAGTAATCACTAAAAAAACACTACTCAAGTACAGTACAGATACCTGGAGTACAGTAATAAAGTATTTGTACTTCCCACCTCTGGTGTCAAGTGTGTTTGGATTGACAGCAGAAGTACTGATGGATTCATAGAATAAGTCTTGTTGCTGCTCATCGGTTAAGCAGTGTGTTTTCCTTTCCCAGCACTGAAGCAGGGGCTCAGTGAATTCCTAAACATTCGTCATAGCAGTTACTGTGCATCATTACAGTGATTGGTGTGGACTTCCCATCAGGCTCAGCCCTCCGCGGCTCTTGAGTAATCCATGTGTGTGCGTACTCTCGGCACCTCCCCTTCCTGTTATTGGTCTGTGCTTAAATGCTGGTGTTTCCAAACTTTTTCTCTTGTTTTGAAAGCTCAGAGAACCAGAGAAGACAAAAGAAGGTAAGAAAAACATTTTACACTGATGAACAGCTTAAGAGAATCAGAAATCTTTGTAAAATCATGAATGTAATACGTGGTAACATTTTTCTGAGGAAGTCAGAGATAATAAATCTGTGCATAAAAACGGTGTCAGCTCTTTTGTCTGGGCCGTACATAAATCATTTGTACAGCTGGCCAAAGGTATTTGTTGTCATTTATATGAACCAGGAATCATCCTGTTATAACATGTATCAAAACCAGTCTTTCACCTTTTTCATGTTGAATTTCTCTAACCAGACAACCACTACAGCATTTCAATCTGTGTGTGTGTTTCCTTCAGCATGGTGTTTCCTACAGGCACGGCTGTCCACAAGCAGCCCACCCAGGTGGTGACAGTCGTCAGGACCGTTGAAAACTCTGGCCAATGGAGCACCGACCTCTGTGATTGCTGCTCTGATATGGAGAGCTGTAAGTAAACCCAGGAAACCCTACAAACAGCAGTGATTTCTGCATGAGCGATCTCCTCAGACTTTGTTTGCAACAAGCTAACCGAGTGTTTGAAGTCAGTAAAAAATCAAGAATGAATGAACTATCTGAGACTACATGATAGCAATGATCATTTAGTAGCATTATGGAGTTTTTCATTATTTTACATTTTTCACCAGAAAACCAAGTTTTCGTAATTGGAGTGGAAATGTCGCAATACGTTGTGAGATGTGATGATTCATGTGCTGAGGTGTCTGCTGAGGTGTCTGTCTGTCTGTAAAATAACTCTGTACCTGTTTCTCCCCAAAGGTTGCTGTGGCCTTTGCTGTTTCCCCTGCATGCAGTGTGATGCAGCCAATAAACATGGATGGTGCTGTGCAGTGCCACTCCTGGACGTTTGTGGTGTGGTGTCCTGCTTACTCCGTGGATCCATCAGAGAGCGCCACAACATTGAAGTAAGGCTGGATTAGAGATGGAGGACACTGTTACAAACTACACTTAAAAGATAGATGTGGTCACTAGAGGAAGTGCACTTTTATAACTTCTGCACTGGCTTCATTTTTTGAATTGAAGCGAGTTGAATGTGTGTCTTTGTGATGTGGTTCTAAAATTAACTGACGTAAAATCTAAATGTAAATTTTATGAGATTCATATAAAATGCACACAAATTGTGCTTTGTGCAGATCCTTCTCACTCACCGTCACCTCTTCAATAGCTCCCAGATGTCTCTGTGTCCTCATTATTTGTTTATAAGTAACCACATCATGTAGTGCCATCATAAAAGTGACCTGGATAAAACTTGTGGTATTTTGCAAACCGTAGAATTTATAATGGAGAAGCTTGAGTTGAGAAAGAGGAAGTGTAAAGTTCTTCAAATCTGAAATCTCTTGCCCTCATCGTGGGAAAAAAAGTTGAGGTCTCTTGTTTTGACAAACTCTCAGATATTTGGTTACCCAGCTCTACACAGGGACACAGCTGCCAGATGAGGGGATGACAACACCCCACTAAACTTTTATGTCTGAGGGGTAACAACAGTAACTCCTGCTGCTTCATCCTCTGTCTATCTGCTTCTTCTTCTCCATCCTGCAGGGCTCGTTCACTGATGACTGCTGTAAAGTGTGCTTTTGTTACCCGTGTGTTTGGGGCCAGATGCATCGTGAGCTGAAGATCAGGGAAAACAAGTAGCCCGCCACCTCGACTGTGATCAGCACGCAAGTTGTCTGTGGATACGATGCAAACATTTTGGCTGTGTGATGAGAGGCTATGACTTTTTCAGGCAAATAAAATCCTTTAATTTTATACATCATGTGTGAGATTAATTGTCCTCTTCTGCAAAACAGAGTTTAACCATTGTTCAGATATAAACTAGTCATATTCACTAATTGTGAACTTAGATAGGATAGTGAGAAAGACATTGTGAGATCACACTGTCCACTCACATAACTTTTCACAGTATTATAATATATGCAAATGAAATAATTGTGTATGATGGTGGAACCTGGCAGGGTGACGCTGATCCTTAACAACAAGGAAACAGACCACAGACACATAGACGTCTGAATGTCAGTAAGTGCATCTCTCACCAACATGAACATTGATCATAATGAAAAAGACCAGCATGGTACAGCCTGAAGAAAGCCAGACACCATGTGGCGCTTTTACAAATGACAGCTGCAGATGTGTGCAAAGAACTCTACGTGTGGGGAACAATAATGTGACTCAAAGCATCTGTTATGTGTATCTGCTGTCCAAGTAGGTTAAACAACATTAGCCAACATCAGAGTTAATAAGCTCATTTTAGCTCTGTGAGGCACTGGTCTGCTGCCATGTCGTTTCTAGACAAAAAGCTGACGTACTTTATTGTCATAGTTGATAAAGTTTCTTCATCAAGCTTTAACATTTACAGAACAGCTCAAGATCCAGATGAGAGCAAGTCAAATGGACATGTTATGGCCCGTCTAGGCGCAGACCACAACATAAGGGGTGATCCATCCCCGTCCAACCCCAAGCAGCACATCACACACTTAATATTTTGTGACAGTGATTTATTTACAACAAGGTGCAGTTAAACAAAGGAAGGGAGCATCATAACTTCAGGGTGAACCCAAGGCCAAAACAACAAACAAAAGTAACCTATCTCAGGAATAAACGCAACTTAGGGGAGACCGGGGATAGTTCTAACGTGGGTCAGTTGTAACACTTCCAATTTCTCCAATCAGGGCTAAGTTTCAAATGATGTGACTCATCCTGTGCATGCCCAATTCAGTTCTGCTATCACATGTGAAAAATCAGCACATTTCGTCAAACACAGACAATTTAACACGAAAAAAAGTAATTTGTATGCCAAAAAGTAAGTTTTTCTACTTTATTTCAATGTTTAATAGCATTATCTGCTTTGCAGTTAAACTCATCAAACTTAAATTATGTTATTTGTATGTCTATGGGGATATATTCTGTGTAGGTCTTTAGTGCTAATGCTTTAGCCGTTGGCTGTAATGTTAGCTAGTTCATGGCTATAGGAGTCTGGGTCAGTTGTAACAGCAACAGTCTGGGTTAGTTGTAACAATAATGCAGATGTTACAACTTACCACACTATTACTTTAACTTATATTAAACAAGTTGGGGCAACGGCATCAGCAGAGAGAGGTTCACTGGTCGCTTTTGTATATGCGGTTAATGCCATTGGCAACACAATTCCTCCACTGTTTGTGTTCCCACACATACATTATGCAGACCACTGTGTCAGAGATGGACCAGTAGGAAGTACTGGTAGTGGAACTAAATCAGGATGGGTGCAAGAAACAGATTTCCTCATCTTTCTGAAGCACTCTGAAAACCACACCAAGGTAAACCAGGATAAAAAGTAATGGAATTGCGATGCTGGTGAACAACTACATTTTTTCAGCTTCATTGTTATGTTTAAAATTGGTGCAAGAGTTGTAGGTTATAATGCCCACTGAGCCAATGAGGCCAAACTCAAGGAAGACCAACCAAAATTAATGAAATATTCAGTTGCAGAAAATTCCATAATTTGTCTTTTTTGGGGGGTTGGAATATGTTCAAAAGCTAGATTTCTGCATTCTGTCACACACCACACACACACACACACACACACACACAACACACACACACACACAGCTACATTAATGGTCTAAGTGCATTCATGTGTTGAATAACAAGATTACATGTTAATATTTTGTTAGTACCCTTATTTCATTGTGTTACATTTCACCCCAGGATATGTTACAACTAACCCAGACTATGGGGTTAATTGTAACATTTCACTCTTTGTGTTTGAGGCCACACCATGCAATGGGTAATTGTGCTGCAGAGAAAATAGCTGCACTATTTAATAGCCGAGACATGTAAATACTTTGCATTACATTTTGAAACCACTACCTTAAAAGAGCTCCAATTTACAGACAGAAATGTCAAATGGACTTCCCATCAGGCTCAGCCCTCCGCGGCTCTTGAGTAATCCATGTGTGTGTGCGTATCTCGCCACCTCCCCTTCCTGTTATTGGTCTGTGCTTAAATGCTGGTGCTTCCAAACTTTTTCTCTTGTTTTGAAAGCTCAGAGAACCAGTGAAGACAAAAGAAGGTAAGAAAAACATTTTACACTGATGAACAGCTTAAGAGAATCAGAAATCTTTGTAAAATCATGAATGTAATATGTGGTAACATGTTTCTGAGGAAGTCAGAGATAATAAATCTGTGCATAAAAACGGTGTCAGCTCTTTTGTCTGGGCCGTACATAAATCATTTGTACAGCTGGCCAAAGGTATTTGTTGTCATTTATATGAACCAGGAATCATCCTGTTATAACATGTATCAAAACCAGTCTTTTACCTTTTTCATGTTGAATTTCTCTAACCAGATAACCACTACAGCATTTCAATCTGTGTCTGTGTTTCCTTCAGCATGGTGATTCCTACAGGCACGGCTGTCCACAAGCAGCCCACCCAGGTGGTGACAGTCGTCAGGACCGTTGAAAACTCTGGCCAATGGAGCACCGACCTCTGTGATTGCTGCTCTGATATGGAGAGCTGTAAGTAAACCCAGGAAACCCTACAAACAGCAGTGATTTCTGCATGAGCGATCTCCTCAGACTTTGTTTGCAATAAGCTAACCGAGTGTTTGAAGTCAGTAAAAAATCAAGAATGAATGAACTATCTGAGACTACATGATAGCAATGATCATTTAGTAGCATTATGGAGTTTTTCATTATTTTACATTTTTCACCAGAAAACCAAGTTTTCGTAATTGGAGTGGAAATGTCGCAATACGTTGTGAGATGTGATGATTCATGTGCTGAGGTGTCTGCTGAGGTGTCTGTCTGTCTGTAAAATAACTCTGTACCTGTTTCTCCCCAAAGGTTGCTGTGTCCTTTGCTGTTTTCCCTGCATGCAGTGTGATGCAGCCAATAAAGATGGATGGTGCTGTGCAGTGCCACTCCTGGACGTTTGTGGTGTGGTGTCCTGCTTACTCCATCAGTCCATCAGAGAGCGCCACAACATTGAAGTAAGGCTGGATTAGAGATGGAGGACACTGTTACAAACTACACTTAAAAGATAGATGCGGTCACTAGAGGAAGTGCACTTTTATAACTTCTGCACTGGCTTCATTTTTAAGCCCTGGAGGTTTCTGCTAGGAGAATAGAGTTGAATGTGTGTCTTTGTGATGTGGTTGTAAAATGAACTGACGTAAAATCTAAATGTAAATTTTATGAGATTCATATAAAATGCACACAAATTGTGCTTTGTGCAGATCCTTCTCACTCACCGTCACCTCTTCAATAGCTCCCAGATGTCTCTGTGTCCTCATTATTTGTTTATAAGTAACCACATCATGTAGTGCCATCATAAACGTGACCTGGATAAAACTTGTGGTATTTTGCAATCCGTGGAAGTTATAAAGGAGTAGCTTGAGTTGAGAAAGAGGAAGAGTAAAGTTCTTCAAATCTGAAATCTCTTGCCCTCACTGTGTGCCAAGAGATTTACAGGGAGTGCAGAATTATTAGGCAAATGAGTATTTTGTCCACATCATCCTCTTCATGCATGTTGTCTTACTCCAAGCTGTATAGGCTCGAAAGCCTACTACCAATTAAGCATATTAGGTGATGTGCATCTCTGTAATGAGAAGGGGTGTGGTCTAATGACATCAACACCCTATATCAGGTGTGCATAATTATTAGGCAACGTCCTTTCCTTTGGCAAAATGGGTCAAAAGAAGGACTTGACAGGCTCAGAAAAGTCAAAAATAGTGAGATATCTTGCAGAGGGATGCAGCAGTCTCAAAATTGCAAAGCTTCTGAAGCGTGATCATCGAACAATCAAGCGTTTCATTCAAAATAGTCAACAGGGTCGCAGGAAGCGTGTGGAAAAACCAAGGCGCAAAATAACTGCCCATGAACTGAGAAAAGTCAAGCGTGCTGCTGCCAAGATGCCACTTGCCACCAGTTTGGCCATATTTCAGAGCTGCAACATCACTGGAGTGCCCAAAAGCACAAGGTGTGCAATACTCAGAGACATGGCCAAGGTAAGAAAGGCTGAAAGACGACCACCACTGAACAAGACACACAAGCTGAAACGTCAAGACTGGGCCAAGAAATATCTCAAGACTGGTTTTTCTAAGGTTTTATGGACTGATGAAATGAGAGTGAGTCTTGATGGGCTAGATGGATGGGCCCGTGGCTGGATTGGTAAAGGGCAGAGAGCTCCAGTCCGACTCAGACGCCAGCAAGGTGGAGGTGGAGTACTGGTTTGGCCTGGTATCATCAAAGATGAGCTTGTGAGGCCTTTTCGGGTTGAGGATGGAGTCAAGCTCAACTCCCAGTCCTACTGCCAGTTTCTGGAAGACACCTTCTTCAAGCAGTGGTACAGGAAGAAGTCTGCATCCTTCAAGAAAAACATGATTTTCATGCAGGACAATGCTCCATCACACACGTCCAAGTACTCCACAGCGTGGCTGGCAAGAAAGGGTATAAAAGAAGAAAAACTAATGACATGGCCTCCTTGTTCACCTGATCTGAACCCCATTGAGAACCTGTGGTCCATCGCCTCTGTCAGTGCGCCCCAGGGTGGCTGTGGCTACATTGTAGCTTGCCATCACCAGTGTGTGAATGTGTGGATGACAGGTTGTGTAAAGCGCTTTGGGGTCCTTAGGGACTAGAAAAGCGCTATACAAATACAGGCCATTTACCATTACCAGGCCATCATCAAATGTGAGATTTAGAAGGAGGGAAAACAGTACACCTCTCTGAACAGTGTCTGGGAGGCTGTGGTTGCTGCTGCACGCAA